ACAAAAACTCATGGGTACTCTGTGTGTGCGTGTGCGTGTGTGTGTGTGTGTGTAATATTTATGGTTAATTCTAAGTTTGCCTTTGAGGTACTGTCTTGTTGATAATAGGGCTGTATATAAAAGTCTTGTGCAGATTTACATTTCAGATTCACATGGATTTAATTGAAAAACATCTATCTGCATCACATGAAAATTGAAGTAAAATAGTCTTTGGAAGAAATGATGCATGACAGCATATAACACATCTTTGTATTTTTACAGTTTGTTTGTCATTTGAAATTCAGTTTCTAGATTTTGGGGTTTTTTTTCTGGATGGAAAAGTCTTCAAAATTGAGGTTGCATGTTAAGCCATTGGGGTATTGCTTTTATAAATGAAACTCACATACCAGTTAAAATGGGAATTGATATCTTCAGAACTAGGTTTTCATGATAGCTTACTGTGGACAAACATATTAGCATTGTTTATCTGTATACATGAAAAGCAGTGTATATATTAGCTACAGGGTAAGACTTCCCCATACAACATGCTCTGCAGTGCTGGGTGTTGAATATTTGATTTATTAATACATATTCTGGACTTTGGGCAGTGATTTTTAAGTCAGGCAGATTTAGTGCCTAAAATAGTTTATAGCCTCAGAGAAAAGTGTCAGTATAAAAATAATAGTTTTGTCTTAGTTCTTTACATACAGTATCTTTTTTTTCCCTTGTGAAATCAAACTTGAGATAAAACAAGAAAAACATTCACAATCTTTTTGAGCTTACAGTCATTCCATTCCAAATATCCATGCTAATGGGGAACACAAGAACAGAGATGCACAAGATTTAGACTTGTGAAATATATTTTCCAATATTTTTCTACTACTTTGTAGATAAATACAAGATGTAACTGAGATTATCACAATGAATATTCACCATTGTATATCCTTTAGTGGCAACTTTTACTTTAAAAGTCATCATAATCAGACACGCTCTGTTATTCACTACTTGTTAAAATTTGTGATGGTGCTTCCTTCATTTTGCCATGTTGACTGAAATATGTGTTTCTACTTGGACAATGTATACTGAAATACAGAATCATTTGGGACTCTCTCCTTCAATGGTGGGGACTGAAAGTGTAAAAAGCATCCAATGTCACTAGGGTAACAAAGCTAGCCTGAGCTAGTATGGATGTTCACTTGCCTTTACACTCCTTTATCTTACTCTGAGCACTGGCAAAGCAGCTGTAGTTGGCCTACTATCAACCTTGCAGTCACAAGTACACTTCTGTGCTGCCCTGAGAGAAAGAGCGAGTGCTCAGGTTTGTCCTGCACTCTCAGTAGCTAGTTATAGTAACATTGAGATGCTCAGGGCAAGTTTGCTCCCAAAAGCAAAGAGAGACTGAGTAATTGTTGCCTAATTGGAGAAATCTAATTATATTCAAAGGGAGATGGATGGAAACTGAGATAGTAATAAGGTCCTACCTGCACTGGACTCAGACAGCACATCTTGAACTGGTTTAAACCTCAGTTTCAACTGCACTGTTATGTGGGTCAGTTTAAATTCAGGATGCCCTGGAGACAATCATGACTCTTGATGGAAATTGTTATGAATAATGGGGCTATTTGACTACAAGTAGAAAATATGTTCCCTGTTAAATCACTGTCACCCCAGGCAAGAATATTATTCTCCCAGCTCCTTCTTTCCTGTGACCTTCTCCCTTCCCCCTTATTCATTTGCTCAAGGGCTGCTCTGCCTTTGCCACATTTAATAGCTCCCCTGATGGCTACATGGTGCATTGCACAAGGTGGAAATAAATACTGAATCCAGAGGGGCAGGCAGATGCTGAATGTAATGTCTTTTTTAAAATTATTTTTACATAATCCCCCCTATCAAAAAGACAAAGAGAGGAAGACATGCTAAGAAACAGCCAGCACAAACATAATGTCTGTTGTCTGAGAAGGTCCCACTGTCATTTAGAAGCACTACTTTGAATGTGCTCTACCATGTGCTAATTATCTGTGATTCTGGAAGGAAGACATGCCAGTAGCTGAAAGTGTTACTGTGTAATTTACACCTTTCAAGGTGAATATGGGCCAAAATATAGAAATTCCTAGAGATCTCTATGGGGACTCAATAAGGACTGATAACAAAGGGATGTGTTGATTGTTCTTGCATTGCATAATGGCACAAACAGAAGCAGGTGACTCTTCCAAGACTATTTAGTAACCATAGTTTCTTGGCGTTTTAGAAATTATAATAATTTAACTTCTCAGACCTCCTGCCTCAAACAGTAGAGGATGAATACCACATGTAAAGCACTCTTTTGTATACTGATAATAAAGAGCCTAATAATAGTGGTAGAATAAATACTATTAATTCAAAACTATTTGAAAATGGTTCAGTAAATACTGTGGCCAACTTATCAGTGCATTTTTTAATACAGGACTTCAACTGGCTAATATTCTTACTTATGATCTAGAAAGCACAGGTTTAGGAGGAAAATTTGCCTTTCACAACGTCTGAAAAGCAAAAGAAGGTTACTTCTTAAATATTTGAGTTAATTCCAGATGAAGAAATATTGGATTCTAATAAACCTAGTTCAGAACTCTAACTGTCATAAAACACAGAAAAGAATTGAAAAATAATGTGAGATGTCATCGTAGTACAGTAGCTATAGTACAGTAACGTCATCTTCCTTCATGTATTTCCATCTTATACTGTGATATTTTAAAAAATTATATTAATTATTCCATTATGAATACAGAATGGAAACCTTTACAGAGTTCCTCCTGTGCATCATTTCCAATGCTGAGGTTAGCTACAGAAGCTGTGGATTATTCATATGAGATGATGTCAAGATCAGCTGTCTGCATATAGAAGGGCAGATTCAGATACCGAGAACATTCGTCAGCAGGACAGTCAAGCTCATCAAACCTATTACAACAGCACATTCAGAATCTGCTTTACTATAAAAAGGACTGCATTGTCATAAAACATTTCATCTGGAAACCACATAATTATAAATGATAGGGTAAACTCATTTCTAAAAGCACATTATGTCACATTAATTTTTGAAAGACATGATATTTTTCTGCAGTTACACTGAATAGAAGAGCAAGAACATTTAGTTTTCATATTTCCAAATAAGAATCAGAAAGGTATGAAAAGACTGTCAACTACGCACATGGTTTTACTTGTGCCTCCCTTTGTGCTTTCATTCAAACATTTATTTTACAAATATCAGCATGGCTCCATACGTCATGAAGAGATCTACTGCCAAGTGTTTCCTCTTTCATATATACTCAGGAGAAAGTTCATTTCTTTGTGTTGCAAGAGGAAATACTTTAAAAATTGAAATACTGTCAACTATGTCCTCACTTGTGTATATGTAAATTTCTTTGCTAAATTGTGCTTTCATTCAAACATTTATTTTACAAATATCAGCATGGCTCCATACGTCATGAAGAGATCTACTGCCAAGTGTTTCCTCTTTCATATATACTCAGGAGAAAGTTCATTTCTTTGTGTTGCAAGAGGAAATACTTTAAAAATTGAAATACTGTCAACTATGTCCTCACTTGTGTATATGTAAATTTCTTTGCTAAATTCCTTAATAAAAATTCTGTCACTAGTGTATATGTAAATTTCTTTGCTAAATTTAACTCCTTAATATTATTACTATTACTATTATAATGGTACTTAGAATTCCAGGTCAAGTGCTAGCAGTGGAAAATACCTGCCTATTCCCAAAGAATTTGCAGAATAAAGGATAAGAGTTAATGTTGAGCATTTTCTTTTTCCAATATATGTTTATTAGGCCACAATATAGGCTTGTTCTTGTTCACGCTGCTCTTCCAATAAGAAACTAGGTGACACCTGTTTCATTTGGGTCCAGCCATCTAAAAGTTAGGTGATCAGCATAAGCTGCTGATCTAGAGTACTTCTCATGTCAGTGTGACAGGATCACACTTACGGAGGATGCTTCACCATCCCTCAGTGGTGAAAATGAGCAATATTCTGATGTGACCCTTTCCAGTTGACTAGAATTTTTCTCCTGATGAAAAACTTTTTTCAAAAGTCTCATTGTATGACAGGTTGACTACAGACAGAATCTATATGAAAATCTCATATAAAGACCTAAGCCTTAGATGAATAAAAATAGACAAATGAATACCATAGAGGGTCAACTCTAAAACTTACATAGAAACAATCCCATTGGCTTTGTTTTGTGTTTGCTTCTCAGAGTGGCATAAGTCTACTGCGAAATCTTCCAGTTGTTTCTAATAGCCTGTAATAAAAATTTTAAATAAGCTTCTTAGGAGGGAATAACAAAAAAGTTAAATGGGGTCTATAATTTGAGTGTGGTTGAGTATTTTTTAATCGTACAAAAATAAAAATGTTCTAATACTTAAGTAAGCAACTACAGTTAAAAGGGAATTGCACAATGAAATATATAAGGGCATCCTATTTTGGGAAGAATACCACAACACCCATATTTTCCTCATTAGAATTTCGGTTATGGTGATTCAGAAATGGACAACATCTACAAATAATCAGCAGGGATCTGATTACAAGTGCTTGGATGACTAAGTGCCCTGTGGGGTTTGTCCTAAATAGGTAGTCCTCAGTTTGTGAAGTTTACCACACGAAGCAAGAACTATGTCTTGCTGCAAGCATTTGTAGTCAGGTTCACTGCAACATCAAGTCAGAAATTGCACACAAGTCTAGAGCCGAGCTGTGATGCTCAAACCCTACACTAACTATTTACATCTGTAAAAAAGTTTATGTTGTCTGTAATACTGTATTTTGTAACAATAATGGTTTCCTTGCTAAAAAGAGAAAACTGCCTTTGCTGTCATATTAGCCAAAAGATCCTTGATGATGCTTTCATTACTAAGCATTACCTTGTGAAATTCAAGTGCAGTGAAAATGTCTTCAAAGTGCAAAGTCTTCCATATGGGTTATTTCTGTTAATATGTTTAAGGTTTCAAAGGTCTTTTTTCCTTTTCTTCTCTTCATAGGTAACGATCTCTTTCTAGTTGCAGTGCATGAACTGGGACATGCTCTGGGCTTGGAGCACTCTAATGATCCCACTGCAATCATGGCTCCATTTTACCAGTATATGGAAACTGACAACTTCAAACTACCTAATGATGATTTACAGGGCATCCAGAAGATATATGGTATGTCATGTCCTAATTAGACAGCACAATTTTTTTGCTTTAGAATACTTTTGAGGATCTCCTGTCCATATCACCTCTGCAAAAGAATTTGTTAGTGTGGACTCCACCAGTTGTTATGACAGAGTCTCCCGTGAGTAGAGAATCCAAAGATTTTCTCACTGCTCACAACTTGCATTCAAATTTGCACTCATCTGGAATAGTAATTTTAAGTGTTTTAAAAAGAAAGAAAAGAAAATATCTGCAAAACTATCTAAAACTATGAAAATAATAAGAAATGCAGGCCTTTAACTATAATGAGCTCCTTTCTACAAGAGTCCAAGCTCATGAACTGGATGAATTGATTACTTCTCAGTTTATCATTTATAATGTGAAACAGTTGCCTGAGTGTACAAAATCGGAGGTCACAGAAAAACCCTTTCTTATGATGAATGTAGCAAATTCCTGAGGTCACAGAAAAGCCCTTTCTTATGATGAATGTAGCAAATTGATCTCAAAATAATGTCATCACCAGTCCAAGATTTTGACCTACCAAGGGCATAAAAAGGGCTATCTCTTAAAAATATGTTTAGTTAGGTTTTTATGGCCTGATATAAAAGACACATGTGATGTAAATAAATTCTGCATTTATTCAATTTAATAAGGAAAGATAATTGAATTTAATTTTTTAAAGGTAAAGCAGTAACATAATTCTGATTATGGGTTGAATGTAACACTAAGTCCCTTATTACTGTCCCTTAAATTTCCAGAGATATGGTTTTGGTTTTAAAGACTTCAATTCTGTGGGTATATTTTAAATAGTTTTTTTCTTTAAAAATATATTTTATTTTTCACTCCGACAGTAAAAAATCTCTGGTGTCTCTATGCTAATACTCTGTATCCAGTACATATCATTTGAAATTGCCTTGCTTAATATTTCTCAATTAAATCTGTATTGGATTTAATTTTCTACTCCAAATTTTTTCTGTTTAAAGGTTTGTCAAGTTTATGTTGAATATTGTCAGGGCCATTCCCTGTTTATCCTTACTACTGGAAAGGACAACTATGATCATATCAAATTACTCTACTGATAACTAGAACTCTGAGCCTCTATGATGTTTCGTATTAACAAGCTTTTAAAAATGTGATATTAACAACACAGCTATGTATTTCCATAAAGCATAAATAGCAATTTCAAAATGATTGGCTGATCAAGTTTTGTTTGGTTGTGTTTTTCCCCTGTGTGATTATCTGGAAGGAAGGTTGTTTCTCATGACTTCATAAGTTGGTAGTCTAGACTTAAGGGCTAGACAAGAATACTTTGCTGAAAACTAGCTGCTAAGCTCTAACAGCTGTGGACTATACATTAGGAAAAATGTGTTACCCCTGGGAAGTAATATCTGACATCACCACCAAATGGCATAAAAAACTTTGGTTTGGGGTCAAAAACTTTCCAACATGAGCTACTGCAAACTGATTCCTTTGGTCCCTTTAAAATCAAGAGGTGATTTGGAATCATATGCCTTAATAAAAATGTCATACCTATTAAAATAATTACTTTGGTCTGCAGTATTCCTTGAAACACCAGTATTAACTGTAAATTATAAATGTCAGAAGTGTTAAAATTGTGAATGAGATAAATGCCTTATTAAATTGTATGACAACTGTTTGGCTAGTTTAAGATTTCCTTGCACAATCCATCTTGTTCTTTAAAACGTATGCATTTTTTGTAAAATCCTCAGAAATTCAAATGCAATATATGCAGTTTTAGAGTTGTCTTACTATCCAAAAGTCTTTCTGAAGTTGGTCATGCAAATGGAATTTATTTTTTAAAGTAAAAATATATTATGTATTTGGAGATAGGCCTAAATAGAATGAGCAAAATCAAAGTGTTCATCTTGTTTCCAGAGATCTTAGTGATCCAACTGAAATGTCCTATCTTTTTGTGCACGAAAAATATATTTAATTTTAGTAATACATGTAGAAAGGGAAAGGCATTTTCAGTACACCCATTGGAAGTCATTCAGTATGCCATTAGGGTTATGATCAGCATCTGCCTAGGATGGCCTTTCAACTTTCAGGTAGAGAAATTATGAGTAGGATAGTTATTTCACCAGTCATCAAACTCTGTATATTGTGGCAGAAAATGTATTTGGAAGAAGAAAATTGTTTTAAGACTGCTGTACAGAATTTTAGTTTTTCACTTTAGTTCTTTCTAATCCCTTTATCCGCAGAACAAATTCTTTAATTACCAGGTATCTAGCTTTGTAAGGCTCACTAGGGGAAAAGAAAAGAAAAAGAAAAAATAAGTAACTAATTTCAGAATGCTGAATAAAATATGTGAATTATGGTTTTTATTTATATAGATGCGTAGGATTTGAGGTCCAGTTTTAAGAGCTCCTGTGCATACTAAGGGGCATTGGGGAAAGCTGGGAATGTCCTGTCACTAATGAACATGACATTACTTGGCCTAAAAATTGGTTAATTAAGAAACACCAGGTATGCTGCAATATGTGAATTGATAAGTTAAAAATATGGGTTGAAAATCTGTTGACTGATGGTGATCTTATTAGGGACAGGATTTTTTTTCATGTATTTGTACAATAGACAAAGATTCTATTATAACTGTTCTCAGTCAGTTAGTAAATAACATGCTTTAAACTACTTCTCATCTGAAATTTTGGTGGCCTTGACAGGTTCCAATAAGGATAGTGAAAAGTAATTATTTTCCTTGGTTTTGGTAGTCATTCTTTATAACCTTTAATAACATCAGAAAGGTATGTTAGGTCACTTTTTCATTCCCCTTAAACTGTAAGGTTTGCATTGCTTACAGCTGGTTTTTGTTGTGTATTTTTCCTTTGAGTGGGCATGTATATTACATCCTGCTGCTGTATTTTTAAAGGTCCACCTGATAGGATCCCACCACCAACAAGACCTCTACCCACAGTGCCCCCACATCGTTCAGTCCCTCCAGCAGACCCACGAAAGAATGACAGGCAACCTAAACCTCCCCGGCCACCCACTGGTGACAAACCTTCCTATCCCGGAGCCAAGCCTAACATCTGTGATGGGAACTTCAACACTCTGGCTATTCTTCGCCGGGAAATGTTTGTTTTCAAGGTAGGAGGTTGTGAATTTTTCAATGTTACATCAAATGTCTACATTTCTCTTTTTTTTTTAAAAAAGCAAGCTCTCATTCATCATGACTCTACTTTCCCAGCCTGCTCACAGTTAGAAACTTCAAGAAAGAAATTAAAAAATAAACATACACATGGCTTAAACATCTAGCAGGGGACTGTTGTAATGTTCTATTTTAGGAAAATACCCATGTCAGCAGAAACAGTAGTGCCTCAAAATGTAAGAGAAAATAAATGCTGCATGTTATGGACTCAAAAAAAGAGAAAATAAATGCTGCATGTTATGGAGAGCTAAAAAGTGTAAACCAACTCATGAATAATAGGGATGATTTTGTTGAGAATACAGCCACGTGCCAATATGCAGTAGATACTCTTCTTTGACACTTTTTTTTCCCCATGGAACTTTAATTTTACCTTTACAGTTAGATCTGTCATTTACAAAGGAAATTTGTCGTTATGTTGTGGTTGCTTGAAACCACAATATCTTAGTAAAGGTTTTTGCCATTAAATTCTTATTGCAAATGTGCCATTCTTTATTTCCACTCATCTTCTTGCTCTGATCTGCAAATGTGGTATATACAACTAATTAAAATAAGCAAACTGAACTGAAAGGCAGTCTTTTAGTAGAAGCACTTTGCTAAGCCTCATGGACATCAAAGCTATCTTAGCAGGCTGATCTGCACTACGGTTTCCAGAAGGCATTGAATATTGAAGAGTAATTACAGGATCATTATCGAGTGATCAGTGAGTATCCTAAACCAATTTGCTGACAGGTAGTGTTGTGTAAATATTCAGAAACAAACAACAAGATAATCTGTTTCTTTGAGCTAATAGTGTGTCAAATTTGCTTAAGCCATAGGAAGTGTGGGATTGTTGCTTTATAAATATATTATATGATTCGTTTTAATCTCAATATTAGAGGTTGAGAAGAAGGACGTTTCATATGAATAGGTAACATTTATCTCATCAATAACAGTGTAAAGTACAAGGGAAGGGCAATGTATTTGTCCCAAAACATGAAGCTCCCTGTTCAGTGGCTTTTGTTGTCCTTTCTGATAGGACCCATTTCTCCCTTATATGTTTTCTTTTTATGTAACCTATCTCACCAGATAAATCTTATTATCAATGCTACCCAGGCTTTCACTTTCTTTAGCATACCTAAAAAAATATGTACAAATATCTTTACATGAATTCATTCAAAATTATTGAGCTACCTTCACAACCCAATGGGCAGGAAATATTTTTCTCATAAACAGCTAAGGATTTTGCCAGCCTGGGGCTGTCAACGCATTCCATTTGAATAGATGGTATATCGTCAAGCACTGGAAGGTCCTGAACCATCAGTCTTGTTATGACTAAAACTCAAAGGTTAAGGAAGAACCTAATTTTCTAACTTGACATTAAACAGGATATTAAAATACCTACTTCAATCTCATGTCATACACCTCAAGAGCAATAGAACATATTCTCATTTAGTTTAGACATAAATCAATAAATTGTGAAATGCTATTCCACTAATACAAAATGTCCTGTCTAGCCAAGTCTGTGATTCTGTATAAATAGATTTACCACCATTACTATTCACTCCTGCCTACTCTGATTGAAAATATAAATTGAGTTTTCTCTGAAAATGTTTAGTGCTTACTGCCTTAACACTACGCAATTGACTATGCAGTTTGTATTCTTTCTAGTGTGCAAACTGCATTTATGTTCCAAAACTAAAATTCCATTCATGAACCATACCCTAATGAGGAAACATGGTTAGACTTTCTCAGAGAAGAATGACCAGGAACAGATGTTTGCAAATTTCTGGTATAGACTCTGACTCTCCAAAATGAAGTTGCTATAATCACAAAAGCAATGAGTTGGGAAGGGAAGTAAGAGGTCACCTCAGTCCAGGTTAATTTCTTTAGGGTCCCACAGTTCCCCTTTTCTCCTCAGGATACCTAGGAACGTAGCAAGGCATGACTTGGGTTAGCATGCTAAGCAGCGGAGTTTACTTAAGTATACAAATCTTGACTTTGTAGACTGTGTCTTTGAATGCTAGAGCTAGCAAGCCTTAACTCTGTTGTTTGTACATTAATTTGCTAATGAAGATTTTTATCTGGAAAGGAGTTTCATTACCTGTTTGAGATTTGTTTTTTTCCTGGTAGGGAAGTGATGTATGTGGAGGAGCATGAAGGAGCAGGAAAGGAGAGTTAGAAAAGTCAGGGGTTGTTAATAATTTTCAACTTTGCAGAATCTCACAAGGGCAGGTTACAAGGATAAGCTCACTATGTCAGACTGTAGCAGAAACAGGGCAGGAATTAATTCTCAGGAGGTATAAATGGAAGTAGGGACTGAATGCAGGGAAAGCCTTGAGCAATGGAGGAAACAAAGATGGAGGTTCTGTGGACTGCGCAACACAAGAAGCCCCAAACGTCTTTGCCCTTGCCCCTTAATGCTAGTGCAAGGATAGACTGGGAATGCATGAGTGATGGGCTGAGGGTCAGAGACAGAGAGATGGACAACAGGGGATTGATGACAGTACTGTATCAGGTGGAAACAATTATGAAGAATTGTGACCTTTATTGGAAGAATTATTACTGGATAGTTCCCAGATGAGTTAAATTAATAAAGCTGGAGGCTAGTCAAATGATATCCTCTTTTTTCTTTGTCTTTACCCAGAAGTCTGTAATTATTGTGTAGTGGCAGATTTTACTGCCTTCTGAGAGGCATGTATGCTGTGTACCAATTTCAAATTGAAAATAGCCACTTATTTATCTCATGGGCAAGTCTGAAGCGCAGGAGCTCAATTTATTTAAATAATCCTTGAAACTGATTGGGAACTTAGCCACAGAGTTGAAGAATGTGAGCCTTTTGAATAATTAAATTCTAATTTAAACACAAAACTGAATTATGAAATATAACAGTTTGATATACACTGTGGATTTTCATAGTAGATGACAAACAATAGTAATTTCAAGAAGACTGTTTTCTCTTGGCTATTGAGCTATTAGATATATTTAAGAGTATCAGAATATTAGAAACAATTTCTATGTTCAGTCAAATTGATGAGCTTTGTCTGTGGTTTTAAGACTATCTTTCATTCTCAAATGGATATATCCAGAGTAAAACTGAATTACAGTAAACTTAAAAGGAAAATTGAATTTACACTTATCCATCCCTTTTTATTGTTTTGCCTTCACTTTGGGAAAGTAACATTCCTAGCAACACTTCATAAAAATTGTAGGGTTATAGAAATACAAAAAGAGGGACTGTTCTTAATGTAACATAAATGCTAAAGAAAAAGGTAAAGCAATGAACTTATTAAAGATTTCCCAAAGATCACCCAATAAAGTTATGATTTTGCTAATCAACTGGTTTTGTAGGAATGATTTTAAGTAAATTATTTTACATCAAATATAAATGTATTACTGATGTATAAATGTATTATCACAAAGGGACTTGTTCCTGAATTCTTTAAATTAGATGCCCTTAAAATATCCCTGCTAGCTGTAAGGTTTGGGGACACAGTATGCGATACAATAAAAATATTAAAATCAATGTATTGTAACTATTGGTTTCAGTTGTCATCATCTGATAAATACTGCTATTATTTAATGCATGTTTGAACTGGTTTAAGAAACCATCAGGACAGAAGAATTTGTATGCCAAAATTCATGAGTGCATTGTTTTTATCTTGCAGTTCCAGTTAGCTTCTGTATTTATGCTGGATGCAATTAGTATTTAGCTGTCATATTCATTTCCAGTCTTTGCTCCAGCTCTCATTCTGTTTAGTTAGAACTCCCCTGGGACACAGAAAATGCTAAAAATGGTGGGAAAAGGTAAAATCTTCCTTTTCTGGGAATGTTATGCAGTATTACACTGTCTGCCTTTAATGAATAAACCTCTCAGCCATTGTGTATAGCAATATGTGCTATCCAACAATGCTGTCTTCTTAAAGTCTCCTGAGAATACCTTCAGGGCTACTGCATCATGAAAAGGAACGTCATTTTCTAAGGTCACCAGAAAGAATCCATTAATGAAGAAGTTTGCAGCATATATTTCCACTTTCTTCCAGTGTCCTGTGCAATTCACACTGCCTTTACAGTCTGCTGTAGCAAAACAGTTTAGAAGATAACCTAGGATGTCTTATCTGTACAAGTACTTATGCAAACTCCTTCTGAATCTTTTACGCAGTTAAAAAAAATGTTCAAGGAAGTCAATGGTTGCACAGAATGTATTATCTCACAAAGGATACAGATCAAGTAACACCGGTTGCTTATTCTGTTGTTTTTGAGGTGTGTTTGTTTGTGTTTGACTCTACATACTGATTGTTCCCTGGCAACAAAATTACCTGCTTCAACAAATTGTGTGACTGCTGTTAATATCTTTTTCTTATACCTTCTTTCGTTTTCACAGATTTAAAAAAAAACCTTAGTTTTTTTTGGCCGAGTTGCATCTAGAAAAGTAAGCACAAAATGTGTGGAATTTGTCTTGCATAATCAGCAAGTCAGATTGACAAGTCAGTGTCCTTTTTTGCAACACAGCTTTTTGTTTCACTGAACATCTCATAGAGGTTGCGCTGGCCCTTTCTTTGTTAAAAGCTAAATCTTTAAGAAACAAATGAATGGATCCTATATAATCTTGAATGGTTTTATTATTCCTTTTGGAAAAGATAACTCACTCCTTGAAGAACAGGATTTTTACCCTCTTTTGTATACTGTGGTGTTTGTTGAAATGTAATGTAAGTATTAGAGGAAGAAGTTTGTCCATCAGACAAATAGCATTTACAGCTCAGAAATGTCTTCATGTCAGTAATGTTAACATTACAGATGGTAGAATATGGAACTAATTTTAGAAAGGCCTTAACAGGCTGTGTTTCACTATTTTACAGTAATTTCCACACAACTTGCAGAAATTTGTTTTCTGACTCTTCATCTGCTAAGAACCATTGTAAAAACATTTATGACACACCAAACAAGCCAAGCCAATTAGGCT